GATCTCGCCGGAATGAAGCGAGAAATAATGTTTGGTCGTCCAGTCCGACTTCAGCATGTTCAGTTCCCTAGACTCAAATTGAAACCGTTGACTGCCTCGCTCTATTCCATGGCTCCTGTGAAGTATTGGCTGCTCAAAGCAGAACCCCACTCACGCTTAGTGAAGGGCAAGGACGTCAAGGTGGGCCTTATTGAATCGCCTTCAAGTTTCGTATGTTCCCAGATTTGCGGGTTACTAACACGAGCCAAGGAAGTTCAGCGTGGACGATTTTGAATCCGTCAAGACGTCCCCTTGGGAGGGTGTGCGCAACTACGAAGCCAGGAATCTGATGAAAGAAATGAAAGTTGGAGAAAAGGTGGTGCTCAACGCTCTTGATATGTCCATTCTCGTCAGCTATTATGGTTGACAGGCTCTATTCTACCATTCGAATTGCAAGAATCCAGGTAAGTTTGAGATTCCTATGCGTTAGATTGTCATTATTATGCTTAACCTTTCCGTCTGAAGGGATTGCGGCTTTTGCGGAAGTGAGTGGGGTGACTGTAAGCTCTAAGCCCGTCTTCTCATTTCAGTCCTTATTAGGTCTCCAAAGAAGCGTATCCAGACTGTCGGTGTATCTTCTTTGATCCTTCATTCTTACCTGACGATTGGACTTTTTTACGTGCTCAGACACGGCATGGGACGCGTAACTACCCTTTCAATCATGTCACCACAGTTCACTCTGACCAAATCCTGCCGTCTCATAGGTCACACCCGTATTACGACGCGGTATGCCTCTAAATTGCTAGTTATTATCTCACATTGGCTGATTCAGAACTAGAAAACCAAAAAGGACGATCCGAGATGGTTCATGGTCGATCTGAAATTCGTATCAAGAGCTACACATTTCGTCCCACTCGCCCTTCTGCGCTTTCTCAGTGACAGCAACTCATTGCGTCCTGAAATTAACTACATACAAGAAGATGGTTTGAAGGCACTGAAAGGTTTCGAGCTTCATCTCCCCCCTCATTGTCTGGCTGACGATCAAGCTCAGCTATGGACCTTGTTGGGAGGGGCAGACTCAGCGTTCAGCGGGTGGAAGGAAGTGCCTGGAACGCTATCGTTGCGCTAGCAGAAAAAGGTGGTTGGGAGGAAATGGATTTGAAAGTGAAGGGGAAACGACCAGCTAAATCAGCAATGACAGAGCCCAAACCCAAGCCCGCAAGGAAGTCGAGTACACGAAAAACACAGGACGATGTGAAAAGCGAGGAGAAAGAGGAAGATGACGAAGATAGTAGTGACAAGGCCCTTCAGATGAAGCGTGGAACCAAAAGGAAAACGCAAGGGGAGGAGAACTCTTCTGTACCACGACGCCGAACGCGAGCAAAACGATGATCTGGTTCTTTGTTGTTGAGATGGATAGTTTCAGGATAGCACCCACCACATTGAACAATAGAAAGTCGAAGTGACGTATATACATAATAAGCGCTCACAATGATAGGTCGGACATGCGACTGGGTTTTGGATATAGGGGTCGGAACTGCTGACAGCGGTATACATAAACGGTTGCCATTTTGGCCGAGGACAATAAAGGCTTGTCTCTTTTTCCGTCGAAGCATTCTCGTCCACATTGCACAGTCCAGAGATTGTCCAAATTCGTGGATGTCCGGGTTTAGTTAAAAAGGGTAGTTCTTGTTCTACTTCAGCCGTCGCATGTTATTCTAATGGTTGTTCAGGCTGGCCTAGACACTCCTCCGACGTATGACGAAGCCAGCAGTCCAGGTTCATCTACTTCCCAGATTTTCGAGACTCACGAAGAGGAGACAGCGCCTCCTTACTCGGATGCCCCACGTTATTCAGCTGTGTTTCCCCTGCATGGAAAGCCGATACAGGGCTGCCGTGCATCTCGTCCGTTAAAAACCGAGCATTCTTTTGGCCCTCAAAATGGTGGCACTCCATGGGTTCAGTTAAAATGTATCAGTCGGGCCGCATCTTCTTCAAAGACACCAAAGTTCGTCGGCGGTGACGATATCGCAGGCTCGATATTGTTAGATCTCGCCTCCCCAACCTACATCTCTTCCATTACGATCGCGGTGAGCTTAAAACATTTTTGATCCTAACAATTCTGGAGAGCTGACATTTGGTTCAGGTAAAAGGTCGCGTTGTAACTTCGAGTACGGACGAAGGATCTTACACTATTCTGGATAAAACGTATACTGTGTGGTCAAAGGCGCTTGGTAACCCACGATATGCTTCCTCTACGCGAAACATCAAACACAAAGGGAACTTGGATCCGGGAGAATATACTTGGCCTTTCTCCTTCCCGTTTCCTACGACCTTTGACTATTCTGATGCCTCTGGACCAGTTGGAAAGAAATCTTATCGTACCCCGCAGTCCTTTTCTGAACACGACATGCCTGCTACTGTCCAATACCAACTTTTGTTGTGCATAAGGCGTGGTGCTTTACGGCCAGACAAGAAGTAAGCAGTAATTATATGGACTCCATGCAAATTGTGTCCTCATTCTCTTCGAGTATCGCGGTACCTATTATATATACCCCCAAAATAGTTCCAGATCCTCCGTCCCTCCCTAGACAGCTTTCGTATCGCGTCGCTAGACCTCTTGTTGGTCCTTCAGAAGATCCCGCAGGGTGGACAACATTACCAGTCGTGACGACATATCGGAGATTATCACACAGTCAACATTCCGTAAAGGTAGATTGTCAAGTAAGTTTATGTACATCACCATTACGGGACCTTGTGCTCACATATCACAGCTGTCTTTAGCAAATCCCGTACGTCGGTAGTGATTTACGTAGACTGTACTGTTGATTCAAGTTCCTTTAGATGTGCTACGCCCGAGGCTCCGTGATCCCTTGTTGGCTTACTTTACAAAGCAACGATCCAGCTGGACTGGATGCCTTGGCCAATAGTCAAACAATCAGGATCACTCTTCAGCGGCACGTCAAATACCATCCCAGGGGTATACGAAGCAAGCCGATAACTCAAAAAACCAAAATACGAAGTGCAGTATGGTGGCCCTCTAGCGTAGATCAACCTCCCGAGGAGTCAGACATTCGCATTATGGAAGGTGAATTGCATCTATCAAGGGGCCTCCAGACTACTTCCGATTTCCCTCTCTTCTCAGTCGAAGTAAGTCGTTGTTAATCTCTTTCGTTGAAATATGGTTGACCTCCATGCATCTTAGTATGTGATCAACTGGTTTGATTTCCAATCCCCTGATATACACCCCAAAGGCGGCCTGAAGATCCCTCTCTTAACGCAGATGATCACCATAGCAACTTTTTCTGCCAGTGGCCCACGGATACGGGAATACTCGATTCGAACGTAGGATAAGGATCTGCCACCCTCCCTCTGATCTATTTCTCTTTTGCTTACATACGGTAGCCGTGCTCCTGTGATCTTCTATAGAAAATCGTCATTACAATCCTGTTTGGTTGGCCGTAGTTGATTTCCTCCAAGAGGATGTGTTTCTTCCCTTTCTATGGGCTCCAGTGCTCGGTACAAATCATTTCTATTTCTTCCCATCCCATCAAGCCACACACTTCGCAGATTATGTCCTGAACTTGTGACAGGGGTTACTAAGCCTTGACGTTAAACCCAGAACCCTTTGGAAGTCGAACGAGACCTACTTGCTTCTAGCTTTAAGGAAGAGGAAGTCTTGTGAATGCTTCAATTTAGGACTTGCTACGTCGCTGTCAAATTTAGTAGAAAGACGACAAAACGCGAGAAAGAAATTCATAATATTGCCACCTCTTTCCTGATTGGGAAAGGCAATAATTCACAATCCTTTTCCACGAAAAGATGCGTATTGAAAATGACATGCCGGACTTCCTCCTCGCCATCAACATGTTCGTCCCTTCCCAGCTTCTCTTGCATCATGGGCTTTTAGTGATCAGTTAGACTAGTGATGATTGTGTTTTGGATGCTCCGGTCATTATCTAGGTGGCCTTAGAGCTGGCGGAAGTACTCGATTTTCGCCTTGTAGGATTTTTCTCGAGAAAGAGCCAGGCAAACTTTACTTAGAATCAGATACATATGGAGAACGACCAACTGCGTCTTCTATGTTACAAGCTTAGGTACATCCATCCCAACGTCCATATCTTATAAGTACAACTGAAGGAAACTGGAATTACATATTGACCTGTCTTAAGCATTGTATCCCGGAGGATTGTCAATAGGTGTTCCCAAAGATAGTGACACAGAAGACGATTCTGCAGGTGAACTATACGTCGCTGCGATGATCGAGATCGGTTAGCCCGATATCCACCTGAAATAGCGTCATCTGCACTTACGCAATCCTTCCTCCTCTTCAGCAGACCTCCTCTTCATATATATAGCGCGTTCACGCGTCTTCTGAAGGAGACTGACGAACTCAAACATAGCCCGATCTTTGAAGCGCATCTCTGCGCTCGTGCCGGGGTTTAGCCCGCCTTGCGCGGAGGGTTTAATTTCGAACGAGAGGTAGTTCGAGCTGAATGTGGGTTGCTCGAACTTGGTGGAGAGGATAGAGTATAATGGGACGGAGAGTGATTCGAAGGAGCTGTTTGAATCGCTTGTAAATATGAACTGTGATACGTGTTACAGGAGGGCGGAGTACAGAAGATCAAGTTAAAGTAATTAATAGGAAATGGACCACATACTCGTTGGTCAGTGAGCCATATCTTTCCTAGAGCCTTCAGCTTCCTGCTTCCTCCAGATCCCCCTGCATTATCATTGCCCGTAGGCTCTGAATCCGGAATCATCAGTGAGAGATCTACTCCTGAATCCACAGTGGTTATAGTCATTTCGTTTGGGAGTGGAACTGGTGAACCATTTGGATTTAGCATTGTCCAGTTTAGCGCCATATTAGGTGGTGAGCGTTGGTGGTAGTAAGGCAAGTATGTAAAGGCTGGCCCGTCTTGGCCGTCATGACATGATCAGGAATCTGATGGGTCCTAGCGCATAGCCTGGTGTCAAGCCTCAGTACTATACATCATGTTCTGCTGAAAACGAAGAAATATGGCTACCTGGCGCAATGGTAGCGCGTTTGGCTTCGATTGCTAAATGGCACCAAAAGGTTGCAGGTTCGAGTCCTGCGGTGGTCATATCTGAATTTCGGCGTAATATTTTTTGACTATTTTATTTATGATTTAGTTCGGAGACAAGTTACTACGGTTCTGCCCTGCACCACCAACTCCCTTTGCGGGTTATGCGCCAGCTTTGAACCTCCTTAGTCTTTTGTTCAATAACTGCGAGTACTCTCAGAGATCGTTCAGTGATAACTCTACAGAGACAAGGCGACGCTCGCTCTTATTACAACGAATGTTTTACAAGCTCTAACTCTCAATGTACCAGAAAAACTTGCATTCATTGGTAACCGTTATTGTAACCCGCGGGAGTTGTGCCAGTGCAACCAGTTGGACTATCAGTCTAACTTAGGTGTGTTCTATTCTGTTAATGGCTGGGGGGTATATAATTCTAGATAGCAAGAATATGAAGTAATTGACAAGGGTGCGATCTGAGCGCATCTGCATTAGCAGTACAAGAATATAAGCGCCCAAATGAAGCTATATTTGAGAGTCCAATAGGATATGACCAGCGTCGCAAGGAATAAGTGCAAATTTGATGCGTTAGTAGTCTCGTCGGCGCTCACGTATAGATTCCTCAATTTTTTTATGACGTCCAAGTGCTTCTCTTAAAGCTAAAAATCGATCTGCTTTCTTCAGACCTTTCGGATGCGGAGTCAAATATGCGACTGGGCCACTGCATCGATGCCTAATGGTTTCCAATTGTCGGTGCAAGAGCAACTGGTAGGTCACATCTTTCGATTTAAGCTTCTCTAGTTCAGACTCGTTTTTCAGTAGTGGAAGAATGTCAGCCTTCTGGAGGCCAGGAATGATCACGCCCCAGTCATCATACAATTGCTCCTCTTCTTTCAGTCGAGATTGCTGTATTGCTTTCCTTAAGGCAAATTCAAGTCCACGTTCAATCGGCCCTCCGAGTTTCAAGAGTTTGTAAATCGGAATAACGCAGATATCGTGAGGATCCTTCGGTTGTTGATTGGAATCCTGGTAGAGTGTCACTGCAACATCCTTGACTCTTTCGCAGGTTGTACTGTTATGTTGGGCCGGAAAGACAAAAAGCCCACGAAGAACACTATCATATCGAGCTTCTTGTTGATTAAATCGTCGAGGAAAGTGGCGCAGTGCATAAACAGTGCGTTTCAAAAGGTTATTGGGACCTTTGGCATTTCCATTTGACTGAAATTGACATTGAGCATGGATAGGATTAACAACAAAAAGAAATTCACGTACATCTATCCAGAAATACTGCGGGGTAACGGTACGGATAGCTTGCTTGATATCCGTTTCTGCTGAGAAATCCAGAGACGTGGCTCTGTGCTTGACTTGTAATGCTACAGTGATAATCTCTCCTGTGTTTTCGAGTTGCAGACGGAACATTATATCCGGACCAAGTTGTTCCATAGGAAATAAAAATGGTGCCTTATGCCATCCTGCGAGCCATTGAAGGTTCCCCTCATACTCCCGATAATCCCCTTTACCTTTGGGTGCTTTATATCCAAGTAAGTGGCTGGGAGAACTTGGCCCCAACTCCAAGTATCCGGAATATTCAGAGAACTTGGTCTCGATAGGATATTGAGAAGGTGCAACCCTGAAATACCCGGAGGAATCATGCCAACATGACACTAATCGAGCTCTTTGTCCTGCTAAGCCTCGGTCAATTCCTGTGTCGGCAAAATCAAAAATGTGCGAGAGTTGCGTGAAGTCTCGGAAAGCTTCGGCAAGGATCAGTGCTGTATAACGCTCCAACCCGTTTCCGACCGGGCTGTGCCTTCCTATTTGTTCAGAAAAGTAATCGTATCGCTTTTTACACAAGTCCTCTTGTGAATTGAGCCAGATATCTGCTGCAAGATATGCCAATGGCTCGTCTAAAAGAGGCTTTCCATCCTCTATCTTAGACCCTGGAAATCGAGCAAAACCACACTCTACTAAACCGTAGTTAGTCACCTTGATAGTTGCTGAGAAATCCAGGTTTCCGCTCATAAGCCGCTCGTATGTCATACTCTGCACGCTGTCCATGAGGGCATATTTAATTGTCGAGACTATAAAGTCCCAAGGAATCAATCCGCTTGCCAAATTGAGATTTTAACTAGCTGACCTCGTTCATAGTCAAAGGGGCACAATCGGGGAAGATTCATTGTGATAATAGGCTCTTGCTCCTCCCAATACTCTCCATCCAATGGAACAAAATCACTGATGGCTTGAATGCACCGCGAAAGAAGTCGATGATAGCTCTGAAAACCATTTTCAATAACCAATTGGACGTAAGCTGAAATGAAGCGCGGCCTAA